CCTTTAGAAAGCAGGGGGCATCACTTGCATTGGAGACCTCCTCAGGTGTGAAAGACCATAAAATTGGTGCTGTATAGACAAGAAATAAAACTTAGGCATCACCAGGTAGGAGGTACAGTCACTACAAGATGAAATTGTTTGCCCAAGGTCAGTGCTTGAGACTGGTTAACTGAAAACTTGACTATCTGGGCTCCTAGGCCAGCCATTAGCACCTAAAAAAGCCCTTCTTTCACTATTTTTTGAGAACTATTCTTAATATGTATTTGATTTGGCACATGTGAAGTAGAGGAATAATATGTTACATGTGTGAAAGGAATAAATACAGCTCCATTACAAGATGCCAGACATGATGGCTTAGATCTTCTGCAAATTTAATGATGACGTGTCAGAACCAGAGTCAGTCAGAAAATAATTCTTTGAAGTTTAATGTGATAACAACAGGAAAGCTCTGTTCTCCTCCCAGAGCAATTATCCAGTCACCTTGGGATATCAGGGACCACTTAGTAGGAAGACAGCTATTAAAAATCACAACAGAGCTGTATTTATGTGATCAGAGACATTTCACTGGCAACAGCTTTACCAGTAAATATATGGAAGGGAGGAAGATGGATGAGCAGCAGCTCACTTGGAGTGATTTGGACAACATGAAGTTGCCTTCTTTTAAATGCAGAGCTAAAATGAAATTCATTTTATCCTACTATTTAAATGTGCTCAAGTAACTATTATCATTGTACCCGAGCACCTCACACACACCAACACCTGGAACAACTAAAGGGACACAATATAGATCATACACCTCATATATGGAAGGGGTTAAAGGCAACCCAAATATTCTCTCACTGTGAGACTGAGCTAGATTTCATTTATTTAATCCTCATTCTTACCCTAGTCCTGCCACCTATGAGAAAATTAGTATTTCATAAGAACAAATAATTCACTGCCCACCACCATAATTTTTCGTGGGGTAGGTCACACTATAACAAGATGTCAAATACTAAATAGTTATCAGATACAGCAATACAGACTCAACTTGAACTCCTGAACTTCACCTTACTGTCACTAAAGTGAGCTCTCATTTAACAGTCTTTAGCTCATACATTTCTGCAAGATTTGTGGAGAGCAGAGTATTGCTTGAATTGAACTGAAAATTGAACTAACTTCTCATTACAAAGCACTATATCAAACCATCAAATGGTTCTTACAAATCACTGAGTTACTTATGGTCTTCTAAAGAGCAAACTCCACTGTCAGAACACATTCCTTTCAGCAAATCAATAGTAGCTATGACAGCTAAAATCACAAGAAATAGAAAACACAACCCTGAGAACAGACAAGACTATAAGTACAGACAAACTTCCTGCTCAGTCAGATTTGAGGTTCCCAGATGATCAGAAAAAAAAAATGTAATTTGGGAACATAAACCCAAATTTTTTTTACTAGATATGAAAAGCATGCTTGGGTTTTCATTGAAGATCTAAGGATGATCCACCTTCCCTGGCTTATTGCAATGCTCATCAAAATGCCTATGAATACAAATCTAAGAAATGTCAAGTGCTGATAGACACTTCATTTCACAGAGAATATGCATCACTGACTGCTGATACATAAACTGAGAAGCCCTTGTTATTTTAGTTATCACACACATTCAATACCAAACAGAATAAATTTTTAGTTATAGTTAATAGTTAACTGTAATTTAATCAGCAGACTCTTCTTTTTTTGCTGTGAGATTAACCATCTTTTTTTCCTTGTGCCTTCTAAAGGCAAGGGAAACTCAGTTTGTGTAAGAAGAGAAGCAGCACTAAACAAATTGCATTGTGCTGAAAGAAACAATCAGAATAATGGACACAGGCTCTCTTATTAACAGATAACACTAAACAAAACATGAGATAGAACTTACAGCCAGAGACCATAACTACAGAAATACTGCTGGCACATTCCAAGTGTATTATCTGCCAGGAAGGGACTGACCAAAGATTCCAAACACAGGAAAAAAACCATTCCTGGGCACTGTCTCTCCTATGATATTACTGCATCTAATCTGGGATTCTGGGGAGAGGAGAGTTTCCAGAGCTGTCTTCTGGGGGGGCTAAATGCAATAAATATCCTTCAGAGCACAACTTGATATTTGTGTCCCAGGATTTACTGCAGCTGGCTTTGCAGCCAAGGTACAGTTGTCAGACATTTATTTGTTCTCTGCCCATCAACATTAAAAGGTAGTGAGTGGTTAAACAGAACAAAGGAAAAAACAGCCAGACAATCTGTATGATTTAATTAAAGAAAGAAATCAAAGGGATTATAGCCAACAAAGGAATCTTAAATGAAAAATTTACTGCCTCTGGAAGTAGCTCCCTGAGTCAGGTAATAAAATACCTGGCACTTGGGGTTCATTGGGAAATGAATCATATATTTTCTGCTCCATGCTCTTCACTACACAACTCCTCCACAAGACTCTGAATAAAATTACTACCTGCAACAGCTGCAACTGGATCTTCGTTTAGGCTGAATAATATTTCTCTAATATTTACCTCATCCTTCTATTGATACATGAGACCTGCCTAGACTCTGTCTGACAGACCAAAATTCTGGCTTCAATTTCCTCTTGATTTTCTAAGTCACTGATGACAGAAAAACTGGATTTCCACGCTCTCTGAGACGGAGGCAGGCTGGGCTACTTTTGCTAATCCTCACCCAGGAAGCATTTATCATTTTATGATACTCAATCATAGTTCTTAATTGGTTTGAGGAAAGAAAAAAAAGCAAATGTGAAAGTAATTTTACTCAAATTAAGTTGTGGAAGCAAAATTGAAAGTTTTAGAAAGAATAGTGTTCTACACATTGAAAAAATGATATTTTTAAAACTTTTGGGGCCCAAAGTTTGGACAGACAGACATTTAGAGCTTTGTTATAACTGACATCACGGCACCAGAGTAAAAGTCAACTCCTGATTCCTTTCCTCCTCACATTCCAGGTCTAAGAGTTCATGGGTCACTCTTCTCTGCCCTGTGACTGCTCTATAATGGATCACATGGTCTGTCTCTTCCATTGATTTTTCCAAGAAAAGGTATTAGAAAGATTGTGGGGTGCTCCTGCTTTTTCATGGGAATTTATATCAATAGAAAAAAATGTGGTTATGGTAATATTTCAGTATATTAGATGTCTAGTTTTATTACTAGCTCACTGTACAACTTCAGTCAAATAAATATCAAAGCCTGGGTTAATTAATGTACAAAATGGAGAACTCATTTGTCATCTTGAGTTTCACCCAGTCTGGAACAAAACTTTCTGCAAGTTTCTACTACCCCTCCTTCAGAACTAGCACTGTGGATTTTTTCTAAGCTGTCAAACAACAACCATCACCCCCCACACACACATAAAACAACCCATTTTTTAATCAGGGAGAGCACTGGGTTTTAACTCATCTGCTGTATGATTTACCCTCACTGTTTGGGCCCTGACTCTGCACCTGTAAGCTCTCATCTTTCTGAACAAGATAAACCAGGGGAAAAAAAAAGGAAAACTAATAAAACAGTCACTTTTTCTGCATATTTGTTCAGAAGGGAATTTCAGTAATTTTAATCAATTTGGATCTCGCTTCCAAAAAAATAATGTTCTGCAGCTCTGTTCAGCCTCTCTCTAAATGCAAATCACTCCTGAATTTATCTAATATTTACATGGCACACTCTTTTAGAAACCATTCCTGAAAAAAAAAATACTCCCAGAGCCAATAGAAGGGCTTAACCTTGGCTTCCTGTGGGTTGGTTTGTTGTGGAATAAACGTGAATTTTTTCATTGCCATCAAATGGGAACTTTTCTCAAGGTTTCACATTTTATCAATTAATGCTTTTCCAATGAGATCTACATTCTTATAAGTCAGGAAGCTATTGGAGAAAACTGAAGAGTTAACATGTTATAAGAAAGTTCTCAAGCAAAGCCAAAAGAGAGAACCAAAAGCTTGGTGACAAGCAACCAAAATAACAAACAGAAATAATTGAGAAAGTCAGGCTCTGTTTCAGTTAGTGCTGCCAAATGTCATTTGCACATAAAATTGAAATGCCTGTAAAAATCCATATTTCCTTGCCAAGATCTTAACAAACCTTTGGTGAGAATTAAGCTTAGATTGCATTTCTTATATTGAGAAATTGATTTTTAACCTAGTTAACCTTGTTTCTTCTAAAAGCACTCTCTACGTTATGAAAGGATCTTTCTGTGTCCTTCTTTCCCACTGAGCTCTAGTGCATTTGCTTCGTATTTCTGCTATTGCATTTGAAAAGTTTTTTCTCATTACTCCCCTGCAGGGGTGCACAGTGGCCACATCTCAGCAGCTTTGGGCAAGCAAAGCTTCCAGTAAGTGATAACAAGAAAAACTGTGGGGACACTTGGGCAAGTGTGCAGATGGGAGGGCCCAAAATCACCTGAAAAGAAGTTAATTTAAAAGTGGGAAGGCCATCTCTGTGGTACTGGTGCATTGGTTTTCAACGATACTTCTAAACTAAATGTATGCTTTAGAAAATGTGAGTCTTTGGTGGGTGGAATAGTTCCCACCACTTGCCTCAGACAAACAGGTAACTGATTACAGTGAAAGTGCATCAGCTTTTCCAAAATTCCCTAATTCAGATCAAATAAAGGAAAGACATCATATTTACTGTAGTGAAAACCAAGTTCAGCCAGTAATAACCATCAGAAAATCATCAATTCCACTCTGCACGGATTATCTTTCTCATTCTCCTCCGTGCCTGTTAAGTTTAGGGTTTGGAGTTCTACTTTTCTTTCAAAATATATACATCACTGAGGTTTCTGATCTCAAATTTCTTGTTATGACTTCAGTTACCAAAAGACACGGAAAGAGAAAAGAAGAGACTGCCAGGAGCAAGGGGTACCTGACAGCCAACCTCTGTGTTTTAACACATCAATTAGGTGAAAACAGACAGAGAAAAAAATCTAATTGCACTAGATATATCATATAGCATTGGTTATACACTCTTCATCCAGCAGCCTGAAGAGGGGCTAGGGCTACAAATCCTAACAGATCCACATGGATAATTTTATTCCTAATGACTGCTCTCCTCTGCTTGTTAATGCAGAACTAGTGGTTACCACTGGGGTTAACCTTCATTAGCTCTGGATGAAATGTAATGTAAAACTCAAAATCAAACGGTTCTGTTCTGGAAAACAGGTTCTTTCCTTCCATTTCTGCCTTGAATCTTCAAAACTGGAAGGGAAAAAAAAAAACAACAAACTAACTTCCTGCTGTTCTATTCTGTAAGAGTGTTCAGAACAATTGATCTCAAAAGTTCGAATACACACAGATACTTTGGAATACTGACATTGTAAATGAATGCTATGAAAGCTTCTTTGCTTCCTCCTTTTCAACTGCCTCTCTTCCTGCCTTTGAGAATGTTACCTTTAATCTTCACAAACAAATCCCTCATTTCTAACCTCAGATGCACTAAGGTCATCTCATGATGAATTTGAGTGATGACAGGTCACTTATTTTGCAGACATCCATGAATCAATGAGTTACAAGTGAAAAAAGTTGCAATAGGTCAGACTAGATAGTTGTAAATGTTCTTCCTATCTGTTAGACATTGGGGGGAAAAAAGCCCCAAACAAATAAAGGCAGGAATATCAGGAATATTTTGAATGGGTATCTGAAGCAAAGATACCTGTATAAATGTCTTTAAACAACAGCTGTGTTTTCTGAAGTGCAGCAAAACTAACAGCTGCAAATAACCTATTAAAACACTTCATTTCAACGTGCACTTCAGTGAAAAAATTAAGAAAGTAAATTCTACAGCATCTTACAGATATTATTAAATTTGAAGCCTATAAATGTCTTGGTGGGCTGATGAAGGCAGCTGTGCAGATATAAACACAAAACCCAGAAATAACATGCCAACCTGCACTGCACAGAGCTCATTTCATCTGCATTCCTTAGACTGTGTGCCAGCCCTTGGACATGACAGCCCACAACACCCAGGGGGGATGTGAACACCCAGTCTGTGACCAAAGGAATATTGGTCACCTAAAGAAGAGTTTATCCCTCATTGCTGATTTCTGATGAGCATAAAAATGAGGGAGGAGGTAAATTGGCTGCCTGTTTCTAATTTAAAATTAGATACTGCATAAGGGTGTAAAAAGGGTTGATTACAGCATTTGATTCCCTGACAATGTGGCTCCAGATATTCTCGTGCATTTTATGGCTCTTTTGGAATCCTGGTACTTTACAACTTTCTTCTAGGAAAGTTTCCCAATTAAAGCAGAAAAAATATAGTTGGCTATATAACACTTTCTAAATGAATGTACAATTTAAATGTTATTGTTTCTTTCAAAATGGGCCTCTCTGGAAAATACAACAGTCATGGTTTTCCAGGGGATTAAGAAAAATATACAGAACGTGGCAGTTGTAGGTAACAAACGATACAACTCTCTGCTTTACATATACAAACTGAGAAGGTTGCAGCAGAATTATGGGCAGTATTTTTAAAAGAACACTCACAGTTAAATCCCTCATATGACATTAAATATTTCTGCTAGTAAATAGCTGTGGAACTATTTATCACAACTCGCATGGCTTGCATATTAATGTTGTAATCACCAGAAATGCAAGGTGTGTCTCAGCAAGCAGAGAACCTGAGACTCAGGTACAAAACTTTAATGCCAAAAAAAACACTCTTTACATGGAGTTTGGTGCTGTCTCCCACCAAAAACACCAAGCCAGCAGCTCTCATTGCCTTCTGCAAGGGCTGCCAGCAGCTGGACAGAACCCAGAAAGAAGTTTTGTTCCTGATGACCAAGGAGTTTTCAGCACAGCATCGAGCAGTTCAGAGCATTTTTCTGTCCAGCAAGAGTTTCAACAGCCTGTGTGTTGTGTGTGAATGCACACATCCCCTCACAGCCTTCTCATGAAGGAAGGGCATCACAGAAACCACAGAAACATCCCAGAGATCCCATCCTGGCTGTAATTAAACCTGCATAACTGCACCAACCTCTCTGACTTACATCACTGAGGCTTATTAAAGCCAAGCCAATAAGACACAGTTATTGCCCTGTCCTTGGTTCAGGTTCTTTGCAAAGGCACTTCCCTGTGACACTGTGCAAACAGACCAGTGACATTCATATTCTTAATGGGGCCATTAGGGATTCCAAATGCCTCGAATAAATAACTAATTGGCAAAGCCCTCATCTTCTCCCTGCAGTTTTTACAGCCTTGCCAGCTGAGTTACCGACACTCTGTGGGGCTCATTTTGTGAATTAATCAGACTCTGGGTATTGTGCAGACAAAAAACACAAAGTCAGACCTCAAGAAATGAATGAGCAAGAGATGTCACGAGTTTCTTAATGGAAAGAAACCAAGGAAGGAAGAAAGAGTGAGGCAGCAACATGGTGAGCCCTGCCTGGACACAGCCGAGCCCAGGTCTGGAACTGGGCATTCTCAGACCAGTTACAGCAGCTTTTTGGTTTGGTTAGGATCTTTCCACAGACAAAAAAAGAATTTTTCTTTCCCTTAGTTCTCCCATTTCATGTTGTTCCCAATGTCATCTTAATTGCTGTGGGGAGAGAATTGATTTTGGAATTGTTATCAGCTTTTCAAAGCATAACACAAGTTCAGGTACCCAGCAGAGGCACCAGGTGAAAACAGACCTTGAGAGAAAAATAAAGGCAACTAAGAGGCTCTTGCATTCCATCACTAGACTGAGTATCCTCATAATAATTTCAAATGTTGAAAATTACAACAGAGATATGCTCAATTTTAGCTTATAGTTGCCTGCCTCATTATTACAAATCTATCCAAAAAACCACAGAACCTCCTTACAAGTTTTTGTTGGAAGTCAGTACAGAAATAAAGTAACCACCAGCCAATGTCAAACTGTAACGAACAGAAAAAGACTAAGTATAGAGATTTTTTCTTTTTAGTACCCAAAACCAGCAAGAAAGAATCATAAAAATCTCAGTATAACTGCTGCATTTTACAACTGGAGTCGCACTGATGTTCCTTGTGCTGTTCTCACACCTTACCTGGTGTGTCCCAGAGGGCAGGCTCAGCTCAGGTGTAACGTTGCCACATGGACTGAAGGCAGTGAGGACTCTTTTTTAAGGCCTCCACAGATGCTTTCACTTACTTCATTATGGGCACAGTCCAACTGCAGAATAATCACCAATTAAATGATTGATACAGAGCAGGGACATCTGTTGTTTTGCAGCTTATAAGAACCTCCCTCTTCTCCTAGGGAACATTTATCTAATTCTTCTCTTCTATATGCATGAACTATGGGAATCAGCAGGATACTTTCCAAAGACACCAATGGGGTTTGAATTAATCCTCATTATTTACAATGAAATTTAGCCTGTCAAATCCCTGCAGTTGTATTTCACATAATATGTAAACTCAATGTGTTATGTGATTAGAAGATTAAGTTCTTATTAGGATATGGAAACACTGAAGGTGTAAATACTGGGACTAATTTAGCAAAGCACTTCAGTTCATGCTTAATGGTAAGCATATGAGTAACCCCATTAGAGCTGGATTTCAAATTAAGTACATTTAAAATATTTTGCTGGAAGCAATACTCCAATCAGTGTCCTAAAACCAGCTGAGACAAATGAATTATTTCTTCATCATAAAAGGGTCAGTGAGACAAAGCAAAAAAAATTATATAATTGGATTTAGAGTAGAAAATAGATATGCTTTCAGGGTGGAAAGCATTATTTGCTTTCACTATTACATTGCCTTTGAGATACCAGTTGTCACTCCAAGTATTTTTATGTCTTGCAGCCTTTATTCCTGCTTTTTTTTTTTTTATTTTAATAAGAATATCCCCCTGCTACTCATCTGTTCTTCTTTATATATTCTCCCCATATTCTTTGCCTGCTATTCCACCCTGCTCTTCCAGAGCACAAGGTGAAAAAAAGGCAATGTAAAATTTGCACTGTGCCAGGCCCTCAGCTCCTAAGCTTTGGTATATAACTTTTCTTTGTTGAAAGCCTCAGGCTCATTATATTTGTCTCCCTTAACTGATTCTGGGCAGTGACAGATTATAGAAGATGGCCCATGGAGTAGCTTTTCCAGTGTACATCCCTACATTTAGATTGCTGTGGCTGCTGTGAGAGTTTTCTCATTTGCACTTTCTGCTCTGAAACTTTATTAAATCTTTCTGAAAGAGGCAAAAAATATATCCCAATAATTCAATCTCAAAATAAATTATAACATTTACTAAATTAAAGAGTATTCAAGAAGGATTGCAAAGATAAGCCAAAACAATAGTAACAGCAGCAGCTAAGTTAGACTTGACTTCACTTTTTTTTTCATTTTAAGCTTGGTGACCTATGTTGGTGGCTAACTTGTAAGACCTAGAATTCAGCTGGCTGAACTTAAGAAGGGTTAAAGAGGTTTTCTTGTATTCCAGAGACTTATTAGATGGATTTCTTGCTTCATGTTTTTCTGCCCTTTCAAATATTACTTAGAAATAATAAATACAGGCTGCCTGTGTGAAACAGATGGCAAAAGTCAGAGATTGCCTCTTCTCCCAGAAAGACTCAGGTGTGGCATCAAATGAAAAACTCCACCAAGGGAGTCACTGAAAGGATTCATAAATACTTTATTAAAAAAACTAAGGCATCGCTGGCATAGCAATATTGCAGTTCACATGCAGATCTTTTCTTTTAAAAAATTGGCACACATACAAACCAGCCAACCCACATCCAGCTTCTCGTGGGTATGACAGAAAATTCAGGCTTCACCTTTCCAGAGGAAAGCAGACTTGCTTTAAGCAGCCCCATGTGCAAGTACTCTGTGGCAATGCATTAAAGTCTACTTGAACAGCAGTGTTACTCCATGTTTCAAAATTTATGAAGCAACACTTGATTTTTTTCAATTTTTCCTTTCCACTTCCCTGCCTTTCTTCCTGTGCAGAATGAAGGAAGCAAATTACCCTGCCGTGGGATCAGTGTATTACCACACATTAGGGCAGGGCTCAGGGTAGAGGGCAGGTTGCAGTTGTGCTGAATTTGAGCCATTACAAGTCGTTTTCTCTCAGTTTTAATGAACAGCTTAATCTCTTCACATCATTATACTGGTGTAAAGGCCTGAACATAAGCAAACAAAAGATAAAGGCACAAAGTGCAATCAAAACTCAGCAGTTTAAAGCAGCCAGCTTGCCTTGTTTTCCAGTGCAATTGATTTTATTGCCTTGTGTACTAACACTAAACCAATGCATCGTTCAGCTGAAAGGGTGAATTTGGGATCTGTTGAGCTCTCAGAATTGTCCCTGGTGCGCTGCAATTACAGAAACACCTGGTTTGAATAATTTCTCTGCACTCTACTGTAAAAATTCAGTGCTCAACAGACCAAAATTTCACCTCAGCCTGCAATATAAATAATGTATGTATAAGGCACTCAGATTTGTACAGGGCTGTGGACTTGTCCCCTGTGCCCCCAGTTACCATATCCTTCGTGGAACAACTTAAAAGGGAAAATGAGATTTGCTAAACCTTTTTCTGGCATTATATGCAATAAGCATTTTTTAAAAAGAGATTAATTTGGAGGTTGGCCAAACCCTATCTGTCCTGGAGCCCAGCCTAGAATTGTCTTCTGGGAACGTGGGAGCTCTCATTCCTGACACAAAGCAACTGAGATGCATCTCAGCCTATCACCTACCATCAAGTGATGGCACTAGCACCAGTTTTGCAGGTGGTTTTCAAAAAATAAAATATTTTTTATATTTCTGCATTGTCTTCTTATTTGTGTGAAGTTCGCTTTTCCGATCCCATTTTATCTGCTGCTAGTTTTTGTGTCTCTCCTCTGTACAACTTCTGTTTGCAGAACACTGTCATCAAACCCCATTCATATGTTAATGCTGAAACGCTCACACAGATGCATGGCACAACAAAGATTTTTAAATGTACCTGCAGTAAACCCACCATTTGGAGTTTACCAAACACTTGGAGATTTGATATTCAGGAAATCAGCCTGCAGACTTACTGGTTTTGAGGTCTTGCACACTGCTGAGAGCAGCACAGAAGATGAGCCTTGTCATGTCACTTCAATGCCCTGAATACAAGGTTATTTCCTTCTGTGCAGGACAAACTGGTGCTGTCAGCACGTTATATAAATGTGCTGATCTGCATATGCAGCTATTTCACCTGTAGCTTCTACCATGCTTAGGTCTATAAACCTCAGGGTGCTCACAGCTCCAAAAAAAAATTGCTTTCCAGTCACCACGAAGTTCTTCAGCCCCTTAGTAAGTATTTTCACGTTTCTAAGGTGACAAAAATATATATCATACACACACCATAACCTAGAAATTGGATCACAGGCTACTGGACCAAGACTAGAAGCTATTAACAGCAGAAATGGGAAAGTTTAGTCATGGTGCTTTACCTCCCCTCTCACCTTACCTCTAAGAATCTGCTCCATGGTCAAGAAAACTTCCTCTTGGCTCTTGGCAAGTGTACAAAGACACTGTGAAGTAGAGCCCAGAAATGGCAGTGGTGCAAACATTGCTTGGCTGAGCTTACTAATTTACTTCTTCAGGAGCACCCATTAATCTGCAAACACTTTCAACTCTTGGGTCCTGTTGAGGGAGAGCAATAACAAAAGGCAACAAATCCCACCTTGTGTATTTGACAGGTAGGTTTCAAAGACCAAAAATTCCACAGTCATGGCAAATCCCTTGTGATTCACGTGGCAGCAGAAATGTATCCATTCATAGCAAATATTTTCCTTTTTAGGAATTCTCATTACAAGGAGAAATTGCCACCTCCTGATTCAGACTTGCTCAGAACAGGGTTCCTTGCTGCACTGTGCAAACTAAAAATCTATTGCTAGTGTTTTCATGAGACATTCACTTTCCAAGCCTTATTGGGTTGCTGCTAGAGGCCAAAGAATTGGTGCATTTTTTGTTTCCTGTTCAGATGAGTGCTAAATCTCCTCTGGCTCAGATGCTCTGCACACATATTATTTCTTACCCTGGCAACATGTTGCTTTGACTTTTCCAAGAACCATTGAAATGCAGCAAAATTATTCTTTTCTAAAGGAACACAAACCACAAACATGACTTGGGAAAATTTATTTCTAAAGTGCACGTAAAAGTAACAAAGTCTTCCTAGAATAAAATCCCACCTCAAGAATAAGCATCACAAGCTGCTTCAAAGAAAGATGCAAGAAAAACAAACAAACAAACAAAAAAACCCCAACAAAACACAGTTATGGAAAATATTTTTTAAATCCTTTCTTATATTCCCCTTTTGGTTGTTACTCAGCTCATGGCATGAGTCTTTGATCACTACTAAATTTCTTTTTAAAACAAATACATCTCTTTCCAAAGGAGTGGGACATTTAAATTAATGTGAACCAACTTCTGTTAGCTATGTCACTTGGGAGCAAGTTGGACATGTTTATTATATGGATGCAAAAAGAATTCCTATTTTTTTGTCTTACAGATTTACCTCCTATGTGCATGTACTGTAAAAGGAGAAATATGGGGGTTTTTTTAATTGTTATTTATTTCATCCTTCACCATTGCTATTAATCTCTTTAATTACCTATTACAGATGGATTTGTTCTGATGATCTAAAGTTGAAAAAAAAAAAATCAGCATTCCCTAGAATTTTCTCATATTTAATTCCTTTTTACTTCATTTAAAATTTTTTACTTCTACTAAAATTCCTTAAAGAGCCCCTTTCTCCTCTAAGGCAGTAAGAGAACAAGCCTACAATTTGCAGTTCCTTGTGTAATAGCTCCTGTTGGAGAAATACATCTGGGGCTGAATTCTTAACTGTTGTGATTTCATGGATTAAAAATTACTCTAAGCATTTGGTTTTCTAAAAAAAATGTGACTGGGGACAGAGAGGTAAAAGCAAATTGACATTAGTATGTAAATTGACATTTAGCTTGGGTGGAAGTTAATGAGCTCCATCCTGTCAAAGCCTGAAATTGCCTGTGAGCTTTCCTAGAAGACGCTTCGACAAACGAATATGAACAATTTTGCAAGGAAAAAAAACAAACAAACAAACAAACCCAAGCTTCTGAAAGCTCAATTAAAACTTTTCTCCGGGCTCTGAGCATTGCTAAACATGAATGGAAATTTACTGCAACTGCTGCTGAGCTGGGTGGTGTGGAGGGTACAAATACACTAACCCTTTGCACCTCTAAGCAAAGCAAGAAGTGTGGCTGTTGCAGGGCTGCAGGAGCCAACTGAATGGAAGACTGGACCATCTCTTTGACATGTGTTCATTCAGGTAGTAACACACCTATTTCCAGCCTAGAAAATGAGCCCCAGCATCAAGACAAAAAAAAGGTCACAGTTGAACAGCTCTGTCCTGCTCAGAGGAAGAACTGTGTGTTGCACGTTGAGTACCAGGTGTTCTATTATATTTGATCTTGGGTGACAAATGCTCTGCAGTTGTATCTGCTGCAAAAACGCCTCCTGACAGAGGAATGGACAAGAGATACAATCTTTAGAGTAATAGCATTAAAGAGAGTGATTGCAGCCCAAGTCCTCCTCAATCTCTTTAGCAACACTTTGAAAGAACTATGCAATTCTGAAAGTCTCATTATTCAGCATAGCAGCGTGGTGGAAAAGGTCTTGAATGCCCTGGAGAACTGAATGGCCTGGAATGCCCCGGTGGGAAGGCTGTTGGTACTTGAACTTTTGCACCCAAGCTTCCCTCACTCACTATTATTTGAACCCTTGCAAAAGGTTGATTTCCTAAATACAGGATTCTCTGCAATGTTAATAAGAGATGCTATGATCTGACAGGACTGTCATGAGGGGATTGCTAACTATGCCTTTGAAATAGGTCCCTGAAAATGAAATGGCAACACTCTTCAGCTTCATACATACATTTAATATCATATATAGCGACTTTATCACATCCACAAAAATACACATATTTTAATCCTACAGAAGAACAACCAGGAGCAAGGTCATACAGAGGCTCTCCAGAGACCTTCATGGATTTCCACCACAGGCTGTCACAGAGCTGTTATTAACCTCACCATTAGCAAAGGGAAGGATTCCAGATCCAACATGCAAACAGCAGCTTTTGAATCCATACGATGCTGACACCTTTTTAGAAATGGAGTTTCTAAAGCCCAGCTTCTCACTCAGCAGAAGCCTTGTAGTTGTAAAAGAATGGGAAAGATGCTTTTAAGAGAGGAGCAACACTTTGTGACAACCTTCTCAAGCTCAAAAACGCACATGCTGGGAGCTGACAAGTCCCCTTCTTTTTCCTCTGATGGAGAACAAGCACGTCTCGTTCTATTCCCTTTTCAGTATCGTTCCTTTTAAAGTGACAAATGAATAAATAAACAACATCTGGGTTGCAGAGCAGCCATCTGGGAAAGCCTTGGAAGTGAAGTGTAGAAGAGCCCCCAGAGAACGCTCGAGAGACAGAGAATGGAAAGTACCTGCAGGTGCACTCACCAAAACAAGGGGCTCCTGCTTCCCTACGTGGGTCTAGTGAGGAGTCTGTCACTCACTCGCCCCAGAGCCAAGCTGGACTGACAGTCACCCTTCACTGGTGCTGACAGACAGACATGGGCACGGGATGGATGAGTCTCCAGGAGTCTGACAGGTGAAAAACACACCATCCCCCTGCTAGACGTCCTCTGCCTGTTATTTCTGAATGGGGCTCTGCTTTAGACACGCGTTAAAGACTTTTATCCCAGAGCTTTGAATAACAATTCATTATGTGGTTTGTTACAGCTGAAATGCAGTTCCATGGTCAGAGTGATTCAATGCTGACCTTGCCTTTTCCCTCCCCATCTGCAAGCTTGCCATGCTCCCCCTCCTGTGCTGGCACCAGCTCAGTTTATTGGGCCCCTCAGGCAGCTTAATCAGGAGGCTGATTACGCTGAATATTAATAATTCCTTCTTTGGGGCCAGATCAGTGTCCTGGACTGCTGATTGCTTGGCTGCACAAAAACTAGCTCTAGATGGTGGTTCAGGCTCGCTCCACCCTTCTTACCAGCACTGCAGGCTTAGATTGTTCAGACTTCTTTGGGAAGCACATGGATGAGGGTGATGTTCATAACAAAAGCTTCTGGAGTCTCCCTCCCTTTCTGACTCTTTGCTTTGTGTTACAACTGCAGCAAGATTATTTTTTTCTGCCTTTGCTTCAATCTCTGTCTTGCAAGATTCGCAACTGAATTAAATTGTTAATCAAGTATGGAGAAGGAGATGAAAGAGAACCTTAATATGCAAGGGACCAGAACAATTACCTAAATAAAGTTCTTTTTAAATCACGAGTTATCTGATTACTTTATTAGATCATCAATTCACAAATATTTTTAACAGAAATTGAGGCGGGTCTAACATTTTCCACCGTGGTTTCTTCTAAAGTGAAACTATGACATGTCACAGATACTGTTAATCTTATCTTTTAAACATCACTCAATTGTGTATAATTTGGAAAGTAATAAGGTAAGGCCTATGCAGGCAATAACTCTCTGAAGGATAAGACCAAATTTCAAGGGAGGCAACAATTAAGTTTTGCAGTCCTGCAGTATTTGTCTGAACAGGTTTGTAATATTTTACAGCTTAGGCAGGAATCAAAGAAAGAAAACAATACAGCAAGTCTCACTTGGAGATGATGACATTTTCTCACAAATCCGATGGCAGTAAATAAGCTTCCATGACTTATTATTCATGTACCAAGGGTTCAGCATTGTAGCCTGATGGAAAACCAGAACAAGGAAGAGAAACATATTGCTCCCAGTTTTGTTGCAGGTTTTTCCCTTGTTTATCAAGTTGTGCACTCTGATTCCATAGCTCTTATATATATATATATATATATATATATATATATATTTTAATATATATGTATAATACGTATCTAATATGTTATATATAATTATATAATATACAGAGGCACACCAGCTAGATTACAGATCTCACTTCCTTGTCCACCTGACTGCATTGTAGATCAAAATGCTGCCAAACTTTTAACAGGTGTCTGTCAGAACACATGAAAATTAAAGCAGAGGCACTTATAAATTCAAAAGCTGGTAATATTATTATCAAGAGTTGGAACAGACAGAATTTACAGTCTTTTGCTCATGGGCATAAAGCACAGATTGTGCCATTGCTATTAGGTATAACCTTGACTAATCCAGCATAGCACAACCCGTTCCTCCCTCCCCTTTTTGCCAGCCCGTGGCCAAAGAACTCCCTGAGCTTTTATGTGCCTCTTCCACAGAAGGATCAGTGGTTTCTCTCCACTCAGATTGTAAGCTCGGTTCTTGCTGTCCAAAAATCAGGTTACACTGTCACATGAAGGCTGCACCACGTATGTAGAAAAAACCACCCTGTTGGACTTATTCTTGTGCCTCTTGCATCTTCTGAGTCAAAAAAGAGTTTAATACTCAAAAGACTGGTCAGCAAGTCACGTTCAGTGAGAGCCTGTGCTCAGCTGGAAGTGGTGCATCAGCTCAGTCCTGAGCTACCTGTTAGTTTATGTGCACAAACTTAAAAGCTGGGCCAGAATCCAACCCTTTCCAAGCACATTTGCAGTTAGTTACAGTCTGCCTGCACTGTTGTCCACGCTGTACACAGCCTGAAATACTCC